TCGCTGACCATTTCAAATGGCGGTGGTTCAAGAAGTCATAGGAAGAGGGGTGTTTGAAAAAGCAAAGAAAGCCGAAGAAAATTTCATGTCAAAACCCATTTCGTCACACTGCCGAACCGGGTCTGGGGGGCAAGTTGTTTGGGTCCAATTCACTTCAATTGGGCAAGTCCACAAATGATTCAATTGCAAAAGCCCAAAGCAAGGTTCAACTCTTCAATCAAGTGCCAAGTCAATCAAAGGTCCAGTCAATGTGGCAATCCCACTTGACTTAAGGCCCATTTGTCTATTGGGTAAGGTATAAAAGCCTTCACTCTCCTCCTTTGTACAATCATTCACTTAAAGCCTCAAGCAACTAATACTCTTGCATATCTCTCTCTCTCTCTCTAAAACACTATATTGACTTCGGCATCGGAGGGGCCTTCCTCGGCACAACCCCCGAGGCCAGTTTACGTGTATTCACTGTGGAAGAAACCCTCGTCCTAGTCATCACTTGGGCCGAGTCCAGTCTTCAGCCCACAAGAAAGGTCCAGACGAAGGACCTATTGCTTTCACCTGAAACAACCATTATAATCACAATTACATAAGATATTTAATTTTAGCTAATCCATTGATGTTTTGGCTATAGAAAGTCTAATGCACATAAGATATATAATTTCAGCCAATCCATTGATGATTTGGCTATAGAAAATCCAATACACATACATATCCATTGATGATTTGGCTATTGAAAATCCAATACAAATACATGACCTTTAATTTGATAAATAATAGGCATCTTATAATCATAAATTCCTCTTTTTACAATATATTCTTTATGTAGGTGAATTTTTTTTTTAGGATACATAGATGATTGCTTGGAGAATTTAGTGCCTTTTTACCTACGCACCTTTCCATTTTTTTAATTCAATTTAATTAACGTAAAAATGATATTAATTAAATACTACTTTCATACATTCTATTTCATTTCAAATTTATGTCCTAGAATTACAATACAACTAAAAAGAATTAGAAAATTTAAAATGCTAAATTTGTATAAGTTATTTAGACTTTATAAAATTGTCAAGGAAAAATGGAATCAATAAAGATATCGTTTTACTATATTGAATTTATATTAAATTTAGAAAATGTTTTCAGTTTACTAGCAAATTATATGTTGTAGATCTTATAATGCCAATTTGTCAAATATTAGTAAGAACGCATGCCAATGCGCTCCCTCCAAAAAGTACCCATTCATCACAAAAATAATTAATTAACCAGGTTTATAAATACTAATTGTCATATTATTTACATTAAATATAGGAATGCTTTTTTAGTTTTATTACTTTTTAGCATGTCCTAGTAAGTTATATCTGTAAATCATAGAATATCAAAATTACTTGAGAAATCTAGTATTATTAACACCACATGACAATGCGCTCTCTCCAAAAAGGTACAAAAATCATCATATAAATGTAATATTCATTGTCATATTACAACACAACCCTCTATATATCCATTGTACACTCCGAAAGGGTAATCTAAACACACTATTTAAACCCGAATTATTCCCTCAAGTCAGAAATACACTCACCTCAAAGTCCAATTGCTCCCTTTGAATTATATACCTTCTTTTGCAAATCAAAACAATTATTTAAAAAAAAAAAACACCTATGGAGGAAACCTCTGTCCTAATAGTGGGAGCAGGTCCTGCGGGACTTGCCCTTGCTGCATGCTTAACAAAAAAATCTATTCCCTACATTGTTATTGAAAAGGAAGATTGTTGTGCTTCTCTTTGGAAGAAACCGCCTATGATCGATGCCATCTTCATCTAGCAAAAGAATTTTGCTCATTACCCCATAAGCCCCATGCACCACAAGCCAAGAAATATATGAGTAAGAATGATTTTATAGAGTACATTGATGATTATGTTTTCGACTTTGATATTAGGCCGCGATACTTTCACTCTGTTGAATCTGCATCATTTGATGAAGCCAAGGGAAAATGGGTAGTTGAAGCTAAGGACACTTTTGTGAAAACATCTAAATTATTCGTCGTGAGTTTTTTAGTAGTCGCAACAGGTGAAAATGGCAAGGGTTACATCCCTAATATCCCCGGTTTGAAGGATTTTAAGGGAGATGTACTGCACTCCAGTGAATATAAGTCTGGTCGTGAGTTTCAGGACAAAGATGTGTTGGTCGTTGGTTGTGGTAATTATGGGATGGAAATTAGTTATGATTTGTGTAATTCAGGAGCCAACACTTCAATTGTTATTAGAAACCCGGTTAGTTTTTTTTTTTTTTTTATTTATTTATTTTTATCTTGTAAATATGGCAAACACAAATAAACTGCACTTATGTATTATTTTTATTGATTGTTGGTCTTGGTTCATATAGGTTCATGTGGTTGCAAGAGAAATGATCTTTGTAGGGATGCACTTGTTAAAGTACTTTAGTTTATCAACAGTGGACGCTCTAGTCACTCTTGCTAGCAACTTGAAATATGGGGATTTATCAAAGTATGGAATCTATCGACCAAATGAAGGCCCTATGTTACTTAAGGCAACAAAGGGAAGAATCCCTGTTATTGATGTGGGAACTATTGCCAAAATTCAATCCGGAGAAATTAAGGTAAATTACTTTTAATTATTTATTTGTTAATAAAGTTTTGTCTTTCAAATTTTATTTCATCCTTTGGATAATTTGTTGTTTCATTGTATGGGAACAAAATGGACAATCTTGAATAACATTATTATAATAAATTACTCAGTACCATGAATACCTCCATTAAAAAGAGGACCATCAAATTTATTATTTTTTACTTGTATTTTATCTGCAAATTCATTACCAGTCTTTTTTATTTGTGAAACTTATAGGTTTTACCGAGAATTGAGAGAATTAATAAGAGCAAAGTCATAATCGAAGATAAAGTTGAATTAAGCTTTGATGCAATAATATTTGCGACCGGATTCAAAAGCACGGCTTGTGAATGGCTTACGGTATGTACATTAACCTAAAGTTTATGTAACTTAAGTAATCATCCAATCTTAGTATTACACAAATGTGTGCACAAATAGATAGAGATTAATCATATTATTTATGCATTATTTTTCTTTTGGGTTTACCTTAACAATAAGTATAATATATTATTTTAATACACTTAATGAAATTGATTTTTTTTTTTTCGTTTGTTAGGATTATGATTTCATACTAAAGAACGATGGATTTCCAAAGAATCGTTTTCCAAATCATTGGAAAGGAAAGAATAAATTGTATTGTGCTGGATTATCAAGAATGGGACTACAAGGTGTTTCAAAGGATGCCATAGACATTGTCAACGATATTGAGATGGTTTTAAGAACTATGGTTCCTGAAGATATTTAAGTTATTACATGTATCTTAGTTGCTAGTGCTGAATTTTCTAGAATAATTTTTTTTGTTCTGCTTTGCTCTTTAATTAAGCTATTACGTATGTTGTAATGCTGTTCACATACTATGATTTTGTATAGTCTTCATGCTTCTATGTACAAAGGTGCAAACCTAAAATACATGTTACTATAAAAAAATTTCAAAATTTTAAAATTTCAAAATTAATACATTTTGCTATTACATATTAATCGTCTAACTTATGCTTTTAGCATTATTATTATTGTTAAAAGGATGAAGGAGCTTAATTTACACTTAAGTATAAGCCACCTTCTAAATAATTTTTTGAAGACAAAAGTGGATTTAGGGCTATGTTTAGTTCAATTTACTCAAGTTGATATTTGTTAATTTAAGAATTAATTATAAGATCAAATTATATTATATTACGTCAGGATAAGTTGATATTGTTTATTTTTGTTAGGGCTTATTTATCATTAAAGATCTTTAATTTTGAAATTAATAAAATTATGAAAATTTATATTTGGAAAGTGCATATTATTGTGAATCTACTAATTTATCATTAGATCGGATTAGAGCAAGTAAAATGAAGCACAAATATAATACAATCTAGTCCGGCCATTTTATATATATATATTATTGACTCGGACGATGTCCCGCATCATTATAAATTTATAACTTTGATGAAAATGCTACACATAATCCAAAGGAAAGTATTAATGAAATATATCATTAATTACACTAATTTACATGTGATTTTTTTCATACATTCTTCAACTAATAAGTCAAGGAAAGATGTCGTGCTATCTACGTACCTCCGTAAACATCAAAGGGATACAATTGCATATTAAAGTACACCATATCCATAGTCATTGTTCATCCCTCTTAGAGCATCAACAATGAGGAGGATATCTCTCCTTTTAGCCATCAATTCCTTTTTTTTTTTTTTTTATTGCTTAAAGGATCTTTATTGATGTTGAGCATACTAAAAGGATCCTTTTAGCAAAAGGAAATGCTGTAGTCCTCTTGGTGAAGAGGAAAGAACTCTTCGACTTTCGTGCAATCTAACTGACATTTTGGTGTTTTTTTTTAAAAGAAAAATACTCGAGTATATTAATAGGAGAGAGAATATATATGTAGGTATATGTAAGCGGAAGAGTGAAAATAGAAAAAGATTCTTATTAATGTTGGAAAAAAAAAAAGAACACGAGGAAAAAGATTGAGATTGTGGGTAGCGATGCGGAGGAAATAAAATGTGATGTATCAAATGGAGGAAAGTGGAGAGAGAATGAGAAAGGATTTTTATCAACCCTATTGTTCATGCTCTTCCAAGTGGATTTTCCTTATTCTTCAATAGGAAATTAGCACAATAAAATCAAAAATAATATTCCACTTAGATATTCCATGTGCTATATTTTTTCAAGAAAGGTTGGCTTAGAAAATCACTTAAATATCTTTCATATAAAGAAATATAGTACTACGAGTAGTGATCAATGAGCCATGACTATATCAATATACTTGGTAAAATAGAATTGTCAACTTGTCAGCATCATATCCTTATTTTCCTATCTAACTACTCTTATTTCTTTAAGTATTTAGCTTCGATCAAACCTTAGCATTTACTAATATATAATTAAGCTACTTCTAAGCTTAAACAGAACAAGTCAATTAAGCAATCTATGAGCAAGTCACTGACCATCCAAGAAGAAAATAAGGCAGAAAATTAACTTAAACCAACAACTATATAACCTGGTAAGATGGTAACTTGATATATACAGACAAGAAGAAAGTACACAATTTATATCAGTTGAAAAGAATAATTGATAATACTGTGAGTCTGCGAAAACACAACCATGTATGTAACTAGACCCCTTTCTTTTTACAGCAAATCCCCTGATTTGCTCTCAGTTCCACCCCCTGAAGGTCCGAATTCGGGTTACCTTGTTATCCAAGACGATGGTTCATTGATGCCTTCCTGTTTTGGTCAGTCTAAGAGCCTCGGCATCAACGACTTGCCTTTTCCATCTAACAAGATACTTTTTACTGATGAAGGGGATCAAATCCTTGCTGTTCCTGTTATCAATCAGCCACTTTCTTCAAATCGATATTACGTTATCAAGGCACATAAGAAGCACAAAGGGTAAGCATTAGATATGTAATACATATAGAATATGAACATATATTAGCATACTGTCATATTTGCAATGGTACTTCATAATACTTCAGATGCTTATTTCTTACAAAGCTTGTTTTGCTTTTTTGCTTTGATTGTTTGGAAATAGAGAAGCGTATGCTTGTTCAAAGGAAGAAGGTAAAGGCGTAAGTTGCGGAGGGAGTTATATTCAAGATGTGACACCTAAACCCTTGGATCCTATAGATATATATCAGCAGTTCGAGTTTGAGTACTCGATGAAAGTTACCTGCAGCACTGAAAGCAGAGGATTTATTGTTAAATCCATTGCTCCTGATGGTCATGCTCCGCGATTCTTAAGAAACAAATCGCCTACACTCATCCAAAGATCAACTACAAACTCCAAAGATTTCATATATGAAGAAGTCAATGGCCTTAATAGTTCACTGCGCGAACAACTTCCGGACTTCAACTTCCCCTTGTCTCGTGGAGCTTCAGAACCTGTTTGTGTTGGTAAATGGTACTGTCCTTTCATGTTCATTCATGAGGGAAAGTTGAAAGATCAAATAAAGTATTCAGCGTACTATGAGATGACACTTGAACAACAGTGGGAGAGGATTTTCATAACCGATAGTAGTTATAACCAAGGCAATAATAATAAGGTGATGATGGATGTTGTTGTTCGAACGCAAGAGTTTGCAGTGGGTGGAAAGGATGCTGTTATAGATGAGAGAACTTCAGACAATAAGGTGGTTTGGTTTCAGACCATTGGTAGCGTGGGAGAACAACAAAGTGTTGGGATGAATAAGTTGATTGTTGAAAGAATGTTATGGGAGCAAGAAAGAGTTGGATGGGTTAATGGGAAGGAAAAGCAAGTGAGGATGATTAGAGATGAGGAGTATGGAGGAATCGGATGGTGGGCAAGATTTGGGTGTTATGTTCTTGTCGAAAGATTTGTTCTAAAAAGAATAGATGGAACTGTGATTTTAACCTGTGATTTCAAGCACACTCATCAAATTAAGACCAACTGGGAGTAGTAGCTATTATGCTTAGTTTGTTTAAGCATCAGAATGTATACTATGTTCTTGCAAAATATAAGTTTTAATATCAATTGTATATTTCCTGCTCATGCAGATTATGCTCATATATACATACATAAAACTACTATTTTCTTTATCATCAAATGCTGAGTTGAACTCAAACTATTTTCTTTATCATCAAATGCTGAGTTGGGCAGCTCCGCTCAGCTAGAACCAATTCAAGTTTGAGTTCAACTGCTCGAGTACTCAACTTGATTAATGATCTCGTAATGTTAAAGCTAAGAAAATGAACCTTGAAGCAGTAAAGCCATAGAATTACAGTTATATATTTGACTTCTCACTAACTTTTTAAGACTTAATCTTATAATTACTCATATATCATGAAAACTCAGTTTATGTTGCTTTATGTATTACAAAGGAACTTGTTCAAAAGCTTCTCAAGCCAAACACAAGTAGCTCATTAACAGACTCGCTAGGCTGACTATCATAGGTTGATTTTGGATTTGTAACTTCTTGTACCAACTAACATCTGGATATTTCTGCTAGCAAAATAAAGTCTATTGTAACCCATATAAGACTAAAAACAGGGGAACAAAATTTTAATCTCTGAAACTACCCCACAGGATAATAAGAAGATTAATCAAATACGGAGTTTCATTTATATAACAAACTCAAAAGTGATTTTCCATGTATTCATGTTAGATATCCTATAGAATCAGGAAAGTGTTCAGACTATTGTACCTTATTATGTTCTGTTTGCTTATTCATCTTCACTGTCATACTGACAAAGCGATTGAAGTCCACTACAAGGGGCAATATCTTCCTTCTTCACAGGTTCTTTGTTGCCGTCTGAATTCTGAGCTGGTTTCCGCATCACCATGTATCTGAGTACTGACGCCAGAGGCTGCAAATTAGGTTGCTTACCATGAATACCATCTGAAGTTTCGATTTTGCTCAAGTTGTCTTCATTTAATTACACATTGTCAACACATCTCTTGGTTCAGAAAGTTTCTGTTTCTTATAGGAACAGGATGGTGGACAAGATTTGGATGTTATATTCTTGTTAAAAGATCTGTACTAAAAACAATTGATTAAAGTGTGATTTTAACTTGTTATTTAAGCACACTCATCAAGTTAATACCAATTGGGAGTAGTTACTGTAATGCTTGTGTTCATTTAAGCATCGAAATATATACAATGTTCTTGGAAAATATAAGCTGTCTGAATTTGTAAATAAGATATATTTCTTGTTCAAACAGTTTATGCCGTGCACACATGATTCAACTAATTTGTTTATGAAATTAAAACTGACAAGGCGGTAATTAGGAGTCATTAAACACTTAGTTGTGCTCATGCTTGGGCAGCTCGGCTTAGCTCGCACCAATTCACATTCGAGCTCATGCGTACCTCAGCTTGACTAATGAATTCCCACTGTTATGTGAGAACTAGCTTCCTGCAACACCTACCAACTTAGCTATAGTAATTCAGTAATAATATTTTTAACTTTTCACCAACTTCAGTTTCTTATAAGTATTTTAGTAATCTAATATTAACTCATATGTCATGATAACTCAGCTTATATGAAGTATTGCTTAATGTATACGGAGTACTACATAGAGCTTGCTCACGACTCACGAGCTTTTCAAGCCAAACACAAGTAGCTTGATAACAGACTACTAGACTTCGCTGACTATCATATATGTTGGTATTGGATTTGTTATGTCTGCCTAAGAACAGGAGAACAAAATTTCAATCTCTGAATCTACCCCACATGACGATAAAGAAGAATAATCAAATACTTCTTCAATTATATAACAAACTTAAAAGTGCCACATTAGAAGTAAAGTCTACAATTTTCCATATATTCATGTTAGACATCTGATAAAATCAGGAAACACTTGAAACTATATTGCACCTCATTTCTTTGTGCTTATTCATCTTCACTGTCATACTGACAAAGCGATTGAAGTCCACTGGCAGTATCTTCCTTCTTTACAGATTCACTGTCGCCGTCTGATTTCTGAGTTGGTTTCCTCATCACCATGAATCTGACTGCCGGAGCCATAGACTGCAAGACAGGTTGCTTACCATCTGAAGTCACAAATTTACTCGAATCGACTTCAGTTAAATTACCCACTGTCAACACATGAGTACGTTCAGAAACTTCCTGTTTCTTGACACAGACATTATTAGCAATCTCATCACTGTCATCATCATCATCAATCCGAGGCACATACACATCCTGCTCAGATCGAGCACGAAACATCGATTTAACGAGTACCTCATCCTCATCATCCACCGTCTTTTCATCACCCGTCCGCTTCAACTCCTCAAGCAATGTATCCACACCAACTCTCCCACGCCTCGCCTGCACAGACTTCAACTCCTCAAACCTTGCTACCAAATCCATCTCTCGTTTCGACTTTAACATTCTATTCTCCAACCCCTTCATTACATCCCCTGTTTCTTCCGACTCCAACTTCCTCTTCTCCCCCACAATCACATCCTCTCCAATTCGACATTGCTCGAAAAGCCGCGTTGCGCCAGCCTCAATTACATAATCTGAGTTCTGAGGGTCTCTCTTCTTAACAAACTCGGCTGCGCAATTGCAGCGTATACTCCATGGCAACATTGTTCGAACTTTCATTTGTTGATTCTTCGGTTTTCTTCGTCTTTGAATTTTACTGGGATCGAAATTTGGTGGGTAATACTTGTTTAATACTTTCCTTTCTCCCATATTCGATTATCAAATCAGGCTGATAACAATCAATGGTTGAATAATCGAGTTTAGAAGAGAGTGTAATGAGAATGAAATTTGACGATAAACCCTAGATTGTGAAATTTAAATTCGATGATTACAAAAAGAAACCTAACATATAAGCCTCAGAAGCTGCTTCAATGGAAAATAGAAATATCAATTGAGAACGTGTTGGGCACGAAACTAAGAGTTTTTCCTTTTTATAGACAAATCTAGGTTATATGTACGACGTATGAATGTACGATATTGTTTGGGATTTTTTTTACCCTATCCTTTCGGTTATCAATTTGGATTAAGGCCAAATTTAATTCCTTCGATCCAAATTTTTTAATAAATCCAATCTAATTCAACCCAAATTAAAATTCGGTTATATTTGATCTAAAATCCGAATAAAAATATTTTGCAAATTTTTAGGTCTAATGTTATTACAAAATAAAAATGCAATTATAAAAATTCATGTCTTGAAAACAAATGTGCTCATGACTTTGATACATGATTAATACTAGTATTTAAAACATAGTTTTACTTGATAAACTATAAATTAATTTGTGATATAATATAAAAATGACGCAACTCATGCGGAATAAACAAATTCAATACATATAAGAAAGTTGAAATAATAAGGCAAAAAAATTTTAAACTACAATTGAGACGAAAAATATATTTTTGATTAGTTTGTTATGCTGAAAATATTTAAAAATAATATACATTATATTACATTAATGATGCATGTTATTCCCAATAAACTATCAATGTAGATGTCGTATTACTTTTTATTGATGAATTAATTTAGTTCCCAAAAAAAAAAATTATATAATGTACTTCCAAAAAATAAGCTAAGTAGAATAATTTTTTTAAAAAAAAAAACTTAAATCTGACATCATATATTGTATTGGCGGGAAATTTTTTAATGATAGTTTGACATAGGTCCAAAATGATCGATGTAAGCATAATGTGTTTTAGTAATAGTTAATAGATTTTAGAATAAATCTTGTGTAAAACAGGTGTACATTAATTTTATTGTAAAACAATCAATTTGAGCCAACTTTAACTATTTTTATGGTAACTTTAACCACTTAAAGGGTAACTTTTAATTTATCGTTGGTTTGAATTTTATTTTAATATGTAATATCTTATAGATACTTGATTACATACTATAAAGAATAATATAATTAATCTAATACATTATAAGTTTTTTTGTAAGATAAAATTTATTAATAAAAAAATAATAACTTTTGCGTATAAAGGGTAACTTTTGGTACTTTTAACATAACTTTAAGTACTTTTAACATAACTTTAAGCACTTTTAACATAACTTTAACCCGTTTTACAATAAATTAACGTACACCCGCTTTTTTGGAGAATTTGTGTAGATTTTTTGAGGGAACAAAAAAAAGTTATAAGTTGGTAAAATTATTATAGACATATTTAACAGAAAACTGACTCAATTATTATTATTTCATAATATTCAAATTAAACACCATAAATAGAAATGTTTTTTTCTTTTTTTAAAAAAAAAAATTATTTTTTTCCCAATTGAACCCTATTATGGTACAACTATATAATGGTAATTTAAATGTTAATATTGTATTTTTGACTCCGTTATTTTATACTCTCCACCATATTTCGACCTTCTAAATTATAGATTATTCTCCCTTGATTAAAAGATCTCAAAATCTTGTGTAACTATTTTAAGTAAATAGAACACGAAATAAAAAAGAATACAATTATTATAAAGATAATATATAAGATTAGAAAATAATATATTATTATAGTTATATTATACAAATATTTCAAAAATAAAAGATTTTTCCTAAAAAGGGATGGGGGGGAGTTTTGGAAGGAAAAAATATCACCAAAAAGTGACACGTGTCATTTTTTGTGTCTATTTTAGAATTATATTTGATTAAGGGATTTTTCCCTACCAATCACCACCTGACAAGTGGACCAATCAGGTTCTGCCATGTGTCCGCCGCGAGGACCAACAGGAGCCTGCCACGTGTTACGTACTGATCAGTCCACCATGGACCAATTGCGACACGACACGTGTCCTCCCCCATGCCAAATGGAGGAACCGGCCACCTAGGCCCAAAGCCTTGTGGAAGCCCAAGAAGCCCTAGGTTGACCTAAACCTAAGACATGCACGCATCCCAAGACTATAAATACATTTACTAATCCTTATTAAAGGGGATTACGTCAATTAATTACTCTCACCTAGAGAAAACACTTAACCTTTTTTCCGCATTCATTACTCCTAAAGCAAGTACTAACTTGATCGTCGAAAGCGGAGCTCCCAACACCCGGAGTCTCTGTTGTTTTGCAGGTACAGGCACACGGTTCTAGTCTCGGAATTGTAACTCTCCCGCAGGATATCAGAAAACCCCGAAACATTTTGGCGCCGTCTGTGGGGAAAGTACTTTCGAGATGGCATCTAAGTCTGTACCGAATCCAGAAGAGAGGCGTCCAGAAGACGACCCTCAAGTCTATTCAGACAACGATACTGATAATGAGGTTGAGGTTGAAACACACACGGCCTCAGACGGGACCTTAAGGGCTCGACGCACCCGTCACATCGAAAGGAAAGAACGGGTAGATTACCAAGCTGGACCCAGCAATCCAGCCGGCTCACCGCCTGATCAGCAACAGGCGGTTGAAGGATCCGCTCCTATTACAAGAAACGAACTCATGACCTTCATGAGGGGGTTCAAAGGAGATATCCAAGAATTAATCAATAAGAAGACGCCTGCTCCCTCCAAGGAGCAGTCGGCTAGGAAACCTTCTCAGTCTGGTAGAAGGAAGCCTGTTCAGGGTCGAGAGGAGACCCCCCACCCTAACTCTAGGAAGTGGGAGCCGCCTGTGATCGACTTAAAAAAATATCGTTTTCCCTCACCAGGGAAGAGGAAGCCCATTCGGCATGTACAAGCGGATGGGTCAAATAAAACATACTCAGATGCTCGGCTATTGCTAGAGTAGAAGAAGAATGACCGACTGTCAGAGTCGGCCTCCACTTCATACTTCCAAGATAGTCTTCACAATACCTCTATGAGGTATACTCAATCAAACTATGAGAGTCAGACAAGTGGTACCTCCCGTCGGTCTGGATTTCATAAAGAGCAGGCGGTACCAAACATGCCATTCGTATCACAACAACAATAATTAATCCAATGAATTCCAAAACTCATGTTTCAAAACCAATTCTCAATAATTCAATAATTCGATGAAACGATTTATAAAACTAATTCCAATAATTCAATATTTCAATAATCAGTTCAATAAAACCAATTCCTCTTTTTAAATCCAATTCCTCGCCCAAGTGTGCACACCCCCCAAGCTAGTCTGTTTATATTGCAAGGCTATTCTTGAGGAAAGACTTGGTCATACAAAGTCCAAAGTCTTATCAGCCAAATCCGCATAGTGGGATTACTAACAACATGCTTGTAAAGATTTAATAAATAATTCAATAAAATTCTTCTTTGAATAAAATCAACCTTTATAATAGGTTAACTCAAAACTCCTTTTTATTTAATTCAACGTGCTTTCAAAATCATTCAAACTTTAATTTTAATAAATACTTGAGAATTAAATCTCATATAAATAACTTTTCAAAATCAATAACTCTTCCTTTGAAAAACCTTTTTAAAACTCTTTAAAACAACCAATATACTTTTTTTTTTAAAAAAAAAAAACCAAATTCCTTTAAACATAATAAATAATTTCAAACCATTCAAAACATGATATTTAAATCAATCCTTTAAAAATACATTTATTAAAACAAATATTAAAATCAATACCTCCAAACATACTTTATTTCATAAATCATGATTCAAATCAATTTAATTCAATCACCAATAAAATCCATATAAAACTTGTTATTCAAACCAATCACTTTCGAAGGTATCTAGCCACCTAAGCGTACCTTGATTCCGAATATCAATCAACACTTCGCACTTTCAAAGTTCAATCACGAATACACCTTGCAATTAACATAACCATAAGGTTATCACAACATCTTTAGACATAACCCCAAATCTAATGTGCATGGACTATAATACTCTTTTAAAAATAATAATTTAATATAAAATTATAACTTTGAAATAGGTATTTATATTTTAAAAAACTAACCATGAAGAAAATAAAGGAATAGGATTAAAGAGAATTGAATTTGCGTTGAAAAGAATAGGCAGAACTTGCAGAGGTCATAACTCCTTTGATATAACTCTTAATTGGGTGATTCTTGAGCCTAAACTCAAGCATTTTTTGAGAGGAACAATTTTCAAAAATAGAAAAACCCCAAAAATGACCAGAAGTGCCCGAAAATTGACTTTAAAGATATACGGGCAGATTTTCTTTTAGAAAAGAGGAGAAGAAAAGTAGGAAAAGGTTGAGGGAAAAGAAGAGTAAAAGAGATGAAGAGAATTGAGTTTTTGGTGTGAAGAATATGAGAGGTATGAGGGGGTATTTATAGGCTATCTCATGCAAGAAGTATGGTAGGAGAATGTAGGAAGAATTATGGTAAAAAGAATTAAGGAATTACTTGGAGAAGAGAATGGAAGAAATATAGAAAGTTTTGATATTAAGGTGATTAAGAATAATAAAATTAAGGAAAGTGTGTAGTCATGAAAAATAATATGGCAAAAGAGATTACTTGGGGAATAATCAAGGAATATATAAGGTAGGAAAATAAGATAATCAAATATTTAGGAGAAGGAGAAAAAAAAATTAAGGAAAATAAGAGATTTTAAGGAGATAATTAAAAAAATAATTTTTCAAAATATATCACCCAAAATTTAACCATGAGGGCCGAAAATATTGAGCTTCCATAGCTCATATTTTCGAATCCTATTAGTATATTTTAGGGAGTTATTTTGCTAGATTTAAGGAATTAAAAATAATTGTGTAAATAATATTTATTTATAAAATAATTAATTAATAAAATACCAATTATTCACTAGATAAATTAACCTAGAAAATCAGATTATCCACACTAGGAAAATCCGAAAATTTTAGTTAATAATTAGGAATTTTCGGACCTTATTAATTAAATAATAAAATATAGTTTTTGCTTTAATTAAATATCCGAAATATATAAATAATCCGATTTTTAAAATAAATTAAATGGATAGTAAATCTTATCCAAAATCTAAAAATAATAATTAGGTTTCAAAATACTTTTGGCGCCAAAATT